TTATCAATTTATATATATATATATATGATAAAATTCGGTGTTATCAGGTTACTTTAAAAGTCAATAAAACTGTTATTAAACGTTTTATCAAAACCTAGTTGATAAACAGGTGAAAATTCTTTAGGTAATGTTTGAATGTCTGTGAACTTTGGTAGAGCAAAAGCACAGCTATGTCATTTTCGTTGTTAATATAGTTTAATTAAATATTTAAAAAAACTTGAAAAATCACCGAATTAAACTCTAATATTGAAAGCATGTGTACTAAAAAAATATATTGTTCCACGGTGGGACAGCGGTAAGTCTTCGGATTTACAACGCTAAAATCAAGGGTTTGATTCCCCTCGGTGGACACAGCAGACAGCCCGATGTAGCTTTGCTGTATAAAAACACACACACATTAAAATATAAACTGTGTGCTTATTTAGGGTTTGTGGAATTCATTTAAGAAAGTATTCATAGAGAATAACATACACATGTTTGCATGCACTTGATATATGTCAGACCTATCAGTAATGCATAAAATTCGGGCTTTAAACTAAACTCCAAATTCGTAAATGCATTTCGCTACACCAGGCGTACATAAATTTTTGACTATTAAATTGGTTTTAAAAAATAATCTGTATAGTTTACAACAAGTATGATATTCAAAACATTAATTTTGTATATGGATTTTCTGGAGGCCAATTCAGTAGCAGTAAAATAATGTTGTAGGACTTGTAGCTTCAGGAGGTTGGTCATAAGTGTTCATATTTGTGTTGTGGTGCTCGTGACCGACATGTTTAGCTTGAAACAGGCGTCGAAACTTTAACGGCGTGTACCATTACTGTGTGCCAAACAGGACTTTGTCAAGCCTAATTATTACTGATTTCAGGAGTGGTTTTGTCGTGCTTTTAGTGTACTGTTGATGTAATAGATATATAACTAGTTGTTGTTTTTTGTGGATGTGTTATCGAAAACTAATAACTTTCTCTAAGTTCATACAGCAAACGTATTATTTATAAGCACGATCATGAACACTTTAGCAGTTTTTATTATTCCTTTATATACCGAGCTCTGAGATCCATTGTTACTTGTAATGGTTCTTCATTTTTATTGGTTGCATAGTTTCTTCTAACTGTGGCGTTACGTGGTAAAACTGCATGACGTGATCTTGTAACGTCGTCATCTGAAGACAATTAACTTTGGTTGTAGCTAAAGCGTATAGAAAGATTTCTAAAGGCTTGTTTAGTGTCGCCAAAAACGTATTGTGAAGTAAAATATGACACGTTCTAGTACACCTCACTTAAGTAACGAACATAAAAACGAAATCTCCTCACATTACATTGTACTGAAAGAAACTAATATCATATTAGTGCATTATGTAATCGATATATATTTGAATATATGGATTTTCTAATGAATGTCAAAGATCACATAAAAGTGAAAGAATTTTACTTATAACCGTAAGGTGGAGCTACTTAGAGTAGGTTTAAATATAATGTTTTAGGGTGAAGAGAAGCAAATGTTTCTGACCACCCCAGGTTGCCTTTTAGGCTCCAAAATCTTTTTTGAGGCTTGAAAAAATTTTTAAACCTAAATTTCTTCCACGAATTTGATTTGTATGAAAAATATCAGTAGATGTAATGAGGTAGGGGGAACATGCTGAGTGTTAAAAACTCGTCATGTTGTGAATTTTGTAACGAACTTTTTCTATCTTGCGCTAGAATAAAAAAGTACTTGTTTGTTTTGTATTAAATAGAGAACCTTGGAAATATCACATGGAGAATAGTGTATAGTAATCTTTATATTTGAGATATTTTAATAAACTACTATATCAAAATACACCAATCATGTTTTATGATCGAAATTATGTCTGTGTTCTGTATATTGCGTCTATTCACGAAATTATACAGTGTTTTGATAGAAAAAATGAAAATTTTAAATTTCCAGTGAAGCTTTATAAGAAATACTTATTTCTTAAATATAATATACATTTTATTTTCAGCGCTCCCTCTGGCAGATTATTCACGTAACGCATTTTTTTATATCATCTTTAAGACCAATATACATATTTTTGAAGTAGTTTCATGAGCCTGTCATTAAGTATTGCATTATTTTAATATATGATTTTTAACGGTTTATTTGAAGAAGATGCACGTTGTAATTTCTCCACCCAGTGTATTTTGATTATTGATGCTTGAGTGCATTACTAGCTATTAGGCACTACCATGTCTTGATTCCTTACTATTCTTGCACACACTAGCACACTAAACGCGAAATCAGTGTTAGCAGAACATTATTACAGCTCTCACTTACGCCAGCATCATACTTAAAGATTAAATTTAGTGTTCCAAATACAATGCTTGTAGGGCAAGTTTATTTACATGGCTACGTTGTCTGTTGTTATGTATGGATCATTATCTTTAGCACTAAACTTAGCTCACCTTTACAAGTTACAGTACACGTAGCACATATATGTTAATGAAATTGGTCCGAATCATTTTTATCATTGATAATTAAAGCTTTGAAATGAGGTTGTTTTTTTCGGTTATAATCCATGAAGAAAATCTAGAAATCAGTTCAATTTATATGTAGTTGTGAAGTAACTTAGCTTTAGGAGTAGGACAGGGAAAACTCAAACCCTTAACTGATTTGAACAAGTTATTCATTACAACATTTTGATTCAGGTTGGACAGATATATTTATCTTTAGAACTTAGTAACATTTCTGTAAAAGAACTGACATGGTCTTATAGTTTGGGCATAAACAGGAATGTGATGGACAGTTATAGTATTCGTTGGTGAAAAGTTGGAGTGGGTGGTGTTGACTAGCTGCCTTTCTTCTATCACTTCAAAATCAAGGTGGCTAGTACAGATAAACTTTGAGTAGCTTTACACAAAAAATCAAGAAACAAACATGTCTGTAAAATATGTTTCATGAAGTTATAACATCACATACAAAGATATTTTATAGTACAATTCTAACATTCCATGATGACATATTATGATTTATGAGATTTTGGATATTTTATTTTTTGGTGTTATATCTCCAGGAAAGTAGTTTTTTTGTACATAAAAATTACTGATCATTATAGATTTCTCTTTATGTATCACTCTTTGGTGGTCAGATCTTGAATTAACCAAGTTATTTGGGCCGGTAATTTTCCTGATATGAACAAACAAAGAAGACTTTTTAAAACATACATTTATTATCTTACCTTGCGTTATAAGATTCTTATCTTAGGAAAATGCATCTTTTTTAAAGAATAACTGCTAAAACAGCAACTTAGTTTTTGTAATAAACTGTTATGACATCTTGAGGCCACTTTCTTTTAATCGAAGAGAAGAGTAACATAATTGTATTTGTTATATTCATTGTAAGTGCAATGACTGATATGCAGTTTCTGTAAAAAAAAAAGGAAAATGTATGAATTTTTATTTGAGTGTAAAACTCAAAGTTGGTTATATACAGTAATGTGCAAAAGGGTTAGGACAAGAAAATATTTTGTTATTCTTTCCATGTCATTACAGAATGTAAATATCAACACTATGGTAATGCTTCACTGATCCCTGTTGACAACTGAATGAGCCAGGGTGATAATACTTATCATTCTTTAGAACTCCCATATACTTGTACCGAGGGTATGTCATGAGGGTTC